CTATGCAAATTTCAATTTTTAAACCTTTTCATCCGTTTCGTTTTTATTTTTTAGACATACCCTGCTTTCTGCAACTTAATCATTAAAGGAAAGACACAAAACTCTACACACAAAAGCAACTCGCTGTTGTTTGTAGTGTCACATTAACGCCATTATTTTGTATAAGAAATCACAGTATACGTGTAAGAGTCACTACAAGTACCAAGATCTGGACTGTACCATTCTCATGCCATCATAAACGTATTAACTTATCAATATAGTGTACCATAAGACATAACAACACAGAGCATCTCTCACTAATCTGGCACCGAGCTTCTGTCTGTGACCTTCAAAGGCCAAACCGTCCCTATTGAAACTCGCACCGTAGTTCACAATTCTTATGTTTGAACGGTCTTGCCCATATTGTTTAGCTTGACAAACATTTGTACTAAAGCCTGTTGGTCACCTGACTTAAAATACTGACAGTAAGAATCAAACTTACGGATGGATTGATCTTAATTGGACATCAAAAGACAAGATTGTTTTCTCTAATCAGTGTTTTGCTGAACTGGAATCAGTGTTTTTAACTTGCTGGATTTATTTTCGAAGATATCAGACAAAATAAAAGCATCTACGCTTTGTGAGATGAAAGACCATCAGTTTAGACGACAAAATCACAGACAAAACAGGGGCGTGTAGACTGTCGCTTCACAATAAAAATAAAACAAAACTCAAAGAAATCAAAGCAAAGGCAACGTCAACACTGGCTCTTGTTACTGCGGGAGAATACAGTGACTGCTTCCAGTGTTAGTCCTTGAATGCGTCAGTCAGAAATCTGATAAAAGCCAGATGTTTTTCAGAGGGAGAGGGGTTTTGTTAAGTGTGTTAACCTGGACGGGACGCTTTTTGTTTGTCTTTGGCTCGTGTGTTTGTGTGTTCAAGGTGAAGTTCACTGCAGGTGTGAGGAGACTTCTGACACTTACATAGATCTATATATAAACACGCACAATACACGTGATGCTTCATCCACAGTCATGCTGTCATTGGCATCCCAACTTTCCTTTCTGTTTGGCATCCGACACAGAGATCAGCTACAGGGAGACACACACACACACACACACACGGATTAAAACAAATCAAACGAATGACTGTGGGATACCATTTACAACGGATATGACGAAAGTTTAAAATGAAGGTGAAGAGAAGACGCTGTTGTGCCAATCATTTTTCCCTAAAATCATCTCCCCTTTGGACCCCAAAGACTCCATGGCTAATTGGTTATATGTGATATAACTAAATATATAGTTATAATCAGTTAGCTTGTGGTTAGCATTAGACCCTTACGAATTAAAAACACTGCATGATTTTAGCCCAGATTTTTGCCACAATTTACAGTGTGAATCAACACTATTTACTTTCACAAAGAAAATCAGCATATGATGGATACGGACCCTGATCTTCAGACAATAGTTCATATCTATGCATTAATGTCACTCTGTTTTGCCTACATCAGGCTTTATTTTGAGATAAACAGAGATACCCCTGTTGAAAAAACCAGCATATGCTGGTTAGGTATGTTTTGATGCTGGTTTAAGCTGGTCCTTTGCTGGTTTAAGCTGGTCCTATGCTGGTTTATGCTGGCCCTTTGCTGGTGTAAACTGGTCCTTTGCTGGTTTATGCTCGTCCTTTGCTGGTTTAAGCTGGCCCTTTGCTGGTTTAAACTGGTCGTTTGCTGGTTTAAGCTGGTCCTATGCTGGTTTATGCTGGCCCTTTGCTGGTGTAAACTGGTCCTTTGCTGGTTTATGCTCGTCCTTTGCTGGTTTAAGCTGGCCCTTTGCTGGTTTAAACTGGTCGTTTGCTGGTTTAAGCTGGTCCTATGCTGGTTTATGCTGGCCCTTTGCTGGTGTAAACTGGTCCTTTGCTGGTTTATGCTCGTCCTTTGCTGGTTTAAGCTGGCCCTTTGCTGGTTTAAACTGGTCGTTTGCTGGTTTAAGCTGGTCCTATGCTGGTTTATGCTGGCCCTTTGCTGGTCTAAACTGGTCCTTTTGCTGCTTTATGCTGGTCCTTTGCCAGCACATGACCAGCATAAACTAGCAAAGGACCATCTTAAACCAGTATCCCAGCGTCAAAACATACCTAACCAGCATATGCTGTTTTTTTCAACAGGGACAGCAGACTGACTATAGACTATTGACTGTCCACTGTGAAGTACTTATGACTAATTATGTGATCTGCTACAAAAGGATGATCCCACATTGTTTTTTTGGGCTTGCAAACAACTAGCCTTCGGGGTGCAAGGGAATAGGATTTTGAGGAAAGAACTGAATATTGCACAACAACAGAAGCAGATGATTGTTATGGGAAAATGAGAAAAACTTTCAGGATGGAGACAGTGGCAGGCATTAAAGTGATGTTCGTCTGCATGAGATGCTGATTATAGGTCACTAACTTTATCCATATTTGACCTTTGACACTGAACGGTGTAATCTTTTTATAATAGTCCTTACTGTAATGGGATGTAACAAATAAAAATGGCTGCTAGTGTGTCGTTATATGGAAGGCCATTTCCACCACAGAAAATAAATTAATTAATTAAAATTAAAACCATGCTTTGGTAAATCATAATTATGACAGAAAATGAATGTGAAGTTATGAGATACTATATCATAATTATAAGATAAAAAGTCCAATTATGAGAAAAAGTCAATGAGATAAAAGGTTGAAATGGAGAAAAACAGGCATAATTATAACATTAAGAAGTGAACAAAGTCATTATTAATTTTTATCTCAACTCTGACTCGTCAGTTTCAATTCATGTCATTTATACATGTCATAATTATGATTTTTTTATATCAGATTTGATTTACGCCAACTTCCACTTTTGACACAATTTCACCTTTTTATATCATGTTTATGATTGATCTCATAAAGTCATAATTATGACATAAAAATAAATTATATACATCATGTTTATGACTGTCCAAAGCATTCTTTTACCAAAACTATTACCAAAGCACGCTTTTTTTCTTAAGTGACCGAAATGGCTTCCATATCATTATGATATATGCTGTGCTGTGAGTTTTTCAATAAATGCTTAAGCACTCATAATTCACAAGATCACATGAGGATTTTTAAGGCTTATGAAGAACATATGCATATAATTCCACCTTTAAATTCCTACGAGAAGAAAATAAAATCCAAACAGATTTTCCAAAACTCAAGAGTGATATGGCATGCAGACTTGTACAAACTCACGCTCACTACAACACTGATGATAGACTACAGTCTGCTTACTGGGCATGTGTCACCTGATAAAGCCTAAAATAAGCAGCCAATATTACTTTTTACACTGACTCCTTGACATCAGACACATTTTGAGCAGGCGGTCTGTTCAGACACCTCTTTGTGACTTGGTTCAGACGTTTAGGCCCAGCCTAATTTGCCAACTCAGACTTAAGACAACACATAATATCACAGTGCTAAACGCAAATCCATAAACTGGCAGCAAATTAAATTTACAGTGAGGTACTTTCGATACCAATCCAATTAACTTCTAATGCACTCTAGCAAGCTTCTGCCAGCTGTCTAATGTCTCATCTGGTTGTGAGGGAAGGACAGAATACATATCATCTATTACAGGGTTCCTCAAATCTTACCCTGGAGGTCCAATGCGCTGCAGAGTTTAGCTCCAACCCTGATCAAACTCAGCTACCTGTGATTTTCTAATTATTCTGAAGACACTGATTAGCATGCTCAGGTGTGTTTGATTAGGGTTAAAGCTAAACTCTGCAGGAAAGTGGATGTCGTGGGCCAGATTTGAGGATCCCTGATCTATTAGATGTGCATAGTAACATAACAGGACTGATAAAAATCCATCTAGTCCTCACAGCCCATAATAAAAGGTTTAGATGCCAGTATGCAAGCTAAAAGAAGCCCAACAAATGCAAACAAAGCTTGACATCTGACAGTCTGCTGGCACTTTCCACAAAAAAGGGTACAAAATGGGGCTTAAAACCTGTGAAGTCGTTTGTTTTCTTCATAGCAAAGTGAAATGTGGTGCTTAACTTTCAGAAAACTTTGTCCATCAACCAAATACTAAGTACTGTGCAGTTGCACTTAATTAAGATGATTATACAAATATTACTTTTTTACGAATTCCTGTTTAAATGCAGTTTAAAAACCTTATTTATTTATTTGTCTCCATCTAGTCCTCACAGCCCATAATAAAAGGTTTAGATGCCAGTATGCAAGCTAAAAGAAGCCCAACAAATGCAAACAAAGCTTGACATCTGACAGTCTGCTGGCACTTTCCACAAAAAAGGGTACAAAATGTGGCTTAAAACCTGTGAAGTCGTTTGTTTTCTTCATAGCAAAGTGAAATGTGGTGCTTAACTTTCAGAAAACTTTGTCCATCAACCAAATACTAAGTACTGTGCAGTTGCACTTAATTAAGATGATTATACAAATATTACTTTTATACGAATTCCTGTTTAAATGCAGTTTAAAAACCTTATTTATTTGTGTGTTTTAAAGAAATACACTTTAAAGAAATAAACCAAATAAACAACAAAAACACAAAAATAAAACAAAATAAATAAGAGATTCGATAAACATTCATTATAATTACATTCACTAAAAACGTAAACAAAAACACTACAAAATATAAAAACAACAACATGATATAAAAACGGTAAATAAAAAAACAAAACAATAAAATAAAGTGATAATAAAATAAAAAAAATGATATTAAAAATAATAAAATAAAATACTGATTCAGCCGCAGTTGTTAGCTATTTTAGCTATTGATACATTTACCATAAGTTAAAGAAATGTATTTGCCCCATTTTTTTTTTCCTCCTTACAATAATTTTGGGTCAAATAGTTGACAAATACAGTCAATACAAATTTGTGTAATGAATTGAAAATGGAATTAATTATTAACTTTTCCCCCATAAAGCTGTAGAAAAATGCCTAAATGATGTTACAATTTTATGAAAAATTCATAAAAAAAAAAAAATAAAAAAAAGTAAATCAGATTGCACTCAAATTGTGGCACACAGTATGTTTTTTAGTACGTTATACTTAAATATGTAATTAAAGTGAATTAATTATTAATTTGGTAATTTATGTTTTAGGTTAATTATGCTGTAGTCTTTCAATTGTTGGTCACAGTCAGAAAGTCAAGTCCTCTTTCCATGCCATGTTATTTTGACTCTACACAATGATTCATCAAAAGTTTCAGTTCTAAATATGCAATTTGTGCCTTTATTGTGTAAAAATTACAGGATGCCAAAATGTACCGTACTCTATTCATGGAAAGTGCCTTTTATCGTAATCCTCGGCGGTGTGGACTGTTTCGATCTGACGCTACATGTTTAGTGGAGTCCAGCTGTTTCAGCTCAGACTGAAGAGGAGGAGGAAGAGGAAGTCTTCATCAGTGTCTCACTGCGGTCGACGCCTGGCGGAGACGAGCACCACAGAAGGGCAAAAGAAAGAAAAACTAGTTAGGTGAAGAACCGTCAGTGTGGATGATGGAGGGAGAGTCCTTTGAGCAGAATGAGAAGGAAATGTTAGTTTCTTCACGTTTGAAACAGGAAGGTTAAATGACGAGATGTTCTGGTCCTCGGCAGAGCTTTACTTTGGTTTCAGGCCCGTTATGATACGACTACAGGTGAGAGGGGCTTCCTAAACTGGGCGGCATACCTGTACCAACTTAAAGGGCAGAGAATCGAGTAAGAGTGGAGGTTTGTTTCAGCCTCGGGAAAGGGTTGCTGGACAGCCAGAGCTGTGCGAGACAGACGCAGAAGAAAGAGGTGAATGGACAGGAGGCTTCTGTGTGGAGGAGAGCGAGGGGGAAGGAGTTCGGTCACGTCGGCGAGGGGAGGTCAGAGTCTATCTAGAGAGTGAAGGCACAGAGCGAAAGGAAAAGGTGTGAGGGGGCGGGGCGCTTCCGGTCAGAATATGGTGGTCTCGTACTTGGTGCTGACCGTGCGCTTGGGATCTTTGGAGTCCAGGATCCAGGTGGCACTGCTCTGAGCGTGAGCGTCCACATCCATGGCTTCCACCTAAAACAGCAGGGAGGAGAGGCGTAAATACTCTGTGGGATATTAATACCACGGCAGGCGATCATTTCGCTGATGGATGTAAAGCTTTAGTCTAGTGCCTCTCACGAGAGACACGATTATGAGAGCTTTGGGTCGGGTTTCAGCTTTTAAATGAGACCTGAAGCTTTTAAAGACATATTAATGGTTAAAAATGTTTGGATTAGACAAAAATCATTTTGTGTGAACTGACAAGTCTGTATAACCCGGAATATTCAAAACTGCTATACATTACGGTTCAAAAGTTTGGGATTGGTACGATTTTTTTCAGTATTATGCTCAATAAGGCTGTGTTTATTTGATAAAAAAAAAATACAGTAAAAGCAGTAATATTGTGAAATATTATTACAAATAAAATGAACCGTTTTCTATTTGGATATATTGTAAAATGTAATTTATTGCTGTGATGTAAAGCTGCATTTCTCCAGTCTTCAGTGTCACACGATCCTTCAGAAATCATTCTGATATGCTGCTCTAGATGCATTTCAATGTTGAAAACAGTTGCTGCTTTATACATTATTGTTAACAGCTGAAAACATTTTTCACAATTCTTTAATGAATAGAAAAGAACTGCAAATATTTGAAACTGAAATGTTTTGTAACGATTATTTTCACTTTTGACCAAATTAACGTCTCCTTGCTTGTTGGTTATTTCTTTAAAAAAAAATCTTACTGCTCCGAACTTTTGAACATTCATATACTGTATAAACTGTAGCCACATGTCAATGTGTGATGCTTCAAAGAACCAGCAGGGAGCTCCACTGTACTAGTCAAAAAGATAGATATGGATCTGGCACTAAGTCATAGAAAGAGAGGAACCATAGGAGCTATTTGAGCTACTGAAGTGACAAGGTGAATAAAGGATGAGCTGCGAAAAGGAAAACCGGAAATAGAGCGATGGAAAGTGTCAAGAATGAGAACAATAATAAGCTGAATTGAGAGGATGAAACCAACAGAACATCTAAACAGAGCAGTGACTGGACTACAAATTCAGACACGGATGAATTTTGTGAGGATCAATCAGGATTAGCCATCATCAATTTGGCAGAAAAAGCTAACTTGTGAACACAGAACAAATTAGTAGAATTAATTTTCCTGTGAACATAAGTGTATGTCTATGTAGCGTATTGACAGCATATTGTGGCTAACCACTGACATTTAAAACCAGGGTTCCTATACATTTTCCATTTCAAAATTCCATACTGTGCAGGAACCCTTAATTAATACTTTAATTAATAATATTTTCAACTAGCAAGGATACATTCATTTGATTAAAAGTGGAAAAATGAATGCTGTTCTTTTGAACTACCTATACAAATACTTACATTTTTCCACAAAAATATGAAGCAGTTTCTACATTGATAATAATCGGAAATGTTTCTTGATCAGCAAATATCAATTCATATCAGAATGATTTCTGAAGGATCATGTGACACTGAAGACTTGAGTAATGATGCTGAAAAATCTTCTTTATATCGCAGCAATATATTACATTTTAAATATATATTACAATATAAAACAGTTATTTTAAATTGTAATAATATTTCACAATATTATATATATATATATATATATATATATATATATATATATATATATAAAAACTACATTGGTGAACAAAGGAGACTTATCTTAAAAACATTTTAAAAATCGTATCGACTCCAAACAGTAGTGTACTTCTGATTAAAGTGTCTCAAACAAAACTCTGGAACATTTTTGTAAGATTTGATGTTTAAAACTTCAAACACAGTGTCAAAAAAATTATTCTTGGAAGGCCACTTCTTTTTTTTTTTTTAAACTGTCATTTGTTTCTGGTAACCATCTGATGTGACCATACTATGTGAATATATATGTGTGTATGTGTGTGTGTGTTTGTGTCTGTGTGTCTGTGTGTGTGCCTGTCTGTGTGTCTGTGTCTGCGTGTCTGTGTCTGGGTGTCTGTGTGTGTGCCTGTCTGTGTGTCTGGGTCTGTGTGTCTGTGTCTGCGTGTCTGTGTCTGGGTGTCTGTGTGTGTGCCTGTCTGTGTGTCTGGGTCTGTGTGTCTGTGTCTGCGTGTCTGTGTCTGGGTGTCTGTGTGTGTGCCTGTCTGTGTGTCTGGGTCTGTGTGTCTGTGTCTGCGTGTCTGTGTCTGGGTGTCTGTGTGTGTGCCTGTCTGTGTGTCTGGGTCTGTGTGTCTGTGTCTGCGTGTCTGTGTCTGGGTGTCTGTGTGTGTGCCTGTCTGTGTGTCTGGGTCTGTGTGTCTGTGTCTGCGTGTCTGTGTCTGGGTGTCTGTGTGTGTGCCTGTCTGTGTGTCTGTCTGTCTGTCTCTGTGTCTGTGTCTGTGTGTCTGTGTGTGTGTGTCTGTGTGTCTGTCTGTCTGTCCGTGTGTGTCTGTGTGTGTGTGTCTGTGTGTGTGTCTGTGTGTGTGTGTGTGTGTTCTCACCCCTGACTTGCGCATACTCCCTCGTGGTTTGGGGACAGGTCTGCTGCTCTTGGTCTCGATGATTTCTGTCGCTCCGGCTGCGCTCTGCTGCTGTCTGGTCCTCTGGGCCTGCAGTGCCAGCTGATAGGCCACTTCAAACGCCTGTCCTAGCGTCAGAATGATCTCATAGGTCAGGTTCTGTCGCGGAGGTGGAGACACGATAATTAGACATCATGATGAGGTGCTTAAAACCACTATTAAGAAATGATCGAAGTATTCAAATAACCTCAATCCATCTTCAGAAGTTTCTTTAATAGCCTCATCAACAGAAACATACATCAATACATTTGTACAGGCCTCCAACATTATTCTGCACTTAAGAGACATTTAAACTCATAAAGTATGTAATAACAAGCTTAGCTATGTCATATAGTGTAACGAAGAGCAGCTTTTTATAGAATTACACATCACTGAGTCTCTGTAAAGGGACGCCAGGACAGCTGTAGATACTGTAATGTGTAATGAAGGCTATGAAAAATCATTTTGGTGTTTTGATTTGTTCTTCTTTTCTCTTCTAGGTCAAAAACAAACACCACATTATTGAACATAAACTCTCAGATCCTCCACAAAATAATCAGGGCTTGTAACTTCAGACTGTGTTTCCTTTTTTTCCCCACAAGCTTTTGAAGATACAGACTTGCATTTCTAACGTGGTATACAATTAACATCATATGACAAACTTTGCTACAAGGGAGCAAAACTCACATTTTAGAGCATCTAAAAGTAAACCCTGGCCCATTTTTATGCTTTTAAATGCAATGAATTATTCAGGCTGTGCAAATAAACAAACTCTGGAATCAAGATTTCTCAATGCAGTCAAGATGCATGCATATATTATACGTCTTTAATGTCAATTTTGATCAAAACTGAACTGAACTTTTCATATTAAAAAGTAATTCCAATGTATTTTCAAAAGATTGTTTCACTGTCTAATACAACCTCTTAACTCAAAGAAAAAGTCACCTGATCAGTCAATCAGTCAATTATCAGTTCTAATAATCGCTTGATTTTTGAATTATCAAATGAACTGCTAGTTGCAGCTCTACTAGAGTCTGGCTGTAAGTATTCAAGGCAATGATTGGTCTAGTGTGTGTGTGTGCGTGTCTGTATCATTCAGGCAGCTGTATGATCAATGTAATTTTAATGGGCTGCTGCTCACAACCTCTCCTATAAAACTCTATGTGATACTATCAGAGACCTGGCAATCGGCCCACGGCACTCTGCACTCCACAGAAAGAGCGAAAGAGACTCTTAATGCCCAGAAATATGAGAATTTCAGAGCAGTAGTCCTCACCTGGTGGGTCATTAAACAGGTCTGTTATGAATATCACAGATAGACAATGTGAAATGCAAATTTGGTGGTTTTCAATCCAATTTACATCTGCAAAAAAGCGATTTACAGTTTGACGTTTTTTCGCAATACTGTAAATCAGCATATAGAACTGAAGCAAAGCAGCTGAGAACCACTGATGGAGAAAGAGTTCATCTCTTATGCAGTGCAACGATGGTGATGTTTGTCTCACCACATCTACGGTGCTGAACACGTGGCAGTAATGATGGCTGCTCTGCAGATCTTTAGTGATGTAAGCAAACGTGCAGAGGTCCTCTGGGTCCTGAGCTGCACATGAGATGTTCCTGATCTCATGTTCTGCAATGATGTTCTGCACACACAACACAAGATGACATTAGCAAACAGATCCAAGAACTTCTTAAACAGAAACACCTTACTACTACTACTACTACCACTATAGTTCTATAGGAATAGTTCAAACCAGAGATGTTCACAAGTCTTTAACTTGGAGCCCGAGTCAAGAAGTCTTTGGTCATGAGTCTGAGTCGAGTCTCAAGTCATTTAATGGCTCGCTAAAAAAATCCCATTCAGAATCCTTATGGATTGAAATCTTCCTATCCACGAAGCTGTTTTATAGGCTATGGACAAAATATATGATATATGATGCTTTGTAAAAAAGCAAAAAAAAAAGATGTAAGGTTTTTAAGATGTAAGGTTAATGTACATCCAGCCTGTTACTAATGTTTTAATCCATTACCATGTTCAAAACAGTTTTCTGTAATCAAATTCTATTATAAGAGTCCAATCTACCTAAAACAATGTACAGTCGAAACAAAAATTATTCAGACACCAGATATAATTTTTGATATTTTTTTACTAGTGGGTGCAGGACACTAGTTCATTTATGTAAGTGAGGATAGCAAAATAAAGTGAACTTTTTAACCAAAAAGTCTTCATACAGTGGACTTTCAGTAAAATTGCTAAAAATTTGGGACCAAAAATGATTCAGACACTTTGACCTGACCGTGTTTTGCTTAAAGGTCCGCTGAAATGCTTAGAAACACGCAGCGTTACTCTGTGTTGACGTCATTTTAACTGAAACAGGAAGACAGGGCGGGACATATCAAGCAGCTCCGCCCCTTTTTAAAATAGCCAATAGCGTTCGTTTATATCACAGCTTGGGCTGGAGCCGTTCAGAGCCGTTGAGCTCCGTAAAGCCGCATTTGACAGGGAATCCCAGCCACAATCTCATCCATATTGCTATAAAATATAGCACTCTGTGTAGAATTCAAATAGCTCCGATACATTTTGTGGTCTGCGGCGACTCGTGCATGTGATCCGCTCCGTGCTATCGTGTCTCTGGACCGGAGCAGAGTGTGTGTGCGGTGCGGTGGTTAGCCTGACAGTGCGAAACCAGACTTACACTGCCTTATAGATAACCTTAAGACTAACATATTGATACTAACACCCAAAAAAACTTTAATTTGGATTTCATGGGGACTTTATGGTTGCTAATGCAACCTTTTTACACCACAGACTGAACAAAATAAAACATTACTTGGTAATTAGTTGACCTAAATTGGTATTAACTAATTGTGTAATTAAATTTAACAGTTGAATATTTTTTGGTTGATTGTAATCCATTACATACCTTTCTATCAAAGTAATCTGCCATTATTAAGCTGAATTTGTTCTGACACAGTTTAACTCAGAGATCTTGTCATTTTTTATTACCATTTTCTAAACTATAGCAAATAAACTGTGATAATGTGAGAAATGTTGACAGTGTCTGAATACATTTTGGTTTGACTGTAGCTACAATCAAAACAATCTCATCTTGAGCAGAAAATAACTAGCAGTTTCAAAGTTTAAGTTCTATCCTAGCCATCTAACAACAATTTTCCCAATTATAATTACATGATAAAAAAAAAAGTTCTTAGCCTATAGCTTAACTCCCTAGGGTCGACGGTCACTCCTTAATTCTAAATGTAGATCAGAAACGTCTCGTCACATCTGGTTTGAACAGTCAGAGTCATAGGTTATAGATAGATAAATATAGTACGAAAAATAACTATATTTGCAGCATTGTTGTTTTCTGCTGTGTTTTAGTGAAAGTAATCTATAATTTTGCTGCTCAGTGTTTCTGTTGTTAAATTTACCACATGATCCGCTGCTCTTAAACTTGCCGCCGGTGGAGTGCCGAAATTTGCACCCTGCCAGATTATGCACCCCCTAGTATTGGTAGGTTTAGGAGTAGGTGTGGGGTTGGGATTAGGTAATCAGGTAGCGACTTCAACGAGGGGGTGCATAATCTGGCAGGGATGCAGAATTCGGCACAACACCAGCGCGCATCCAGAGTGAGAGAGAAACCGCAGAGCTAAAAGGTCTTGAATAAAGCCTGTTTGGCTTTAGATAAAAATACTAGAGGATATAGCGCTGAAAGATATTTACTTAAACGACCCTGAAGGCTTGTTATGTGATCCGCTCTGCTGTTTTGACGTACTGCTCACTTAAAATGGTGCTCCTGTTGCGGCTCGCGGTCCAGATGGATGCCGGGGTGCAGATCGGTCGACCTTTTGAATATCAGTTATAGAAGTATTTAAGGATTAAAAGACTTCCGAGTTGCTTTTAAAATATTCACGATTCCTTTTCCTCGACTCCAGACTTGGACCATTTCAGGTCGAGTCTGAAGTCAAGTCTGAAGTCTATAAAAATGTGACTGGAGTGCGAGTCACTAACTCGAGTGCCCATCTCTGGTTAAAACAATCAATATCAGTTGATACAGAAAAACACAATTAGATGGATGAGACAGATTGGGGGAATGATGGGATCAAGCGATAAATGGGATGGATGAATGGATGGATGGAGGGATGATGGATGAGATGGATGGATAGGATGGCATGGCATGGGATGGGATGGAGGGATGGCATAGGATAGATTGGGTAGATGGACTAGGTGGAGAGATGGATGGATGGAGGAAGGGAGGGAGGGAGGGAGGGATGGATCATGATGGAATGGACAGATAAAATGGATTGAGTGGATGGAATGAAATTGCATGGCATTGGATGGATGGATTGAAAGGATGGGATGGAGGGATGGCATGGGATAGCATTGGATGGATTGGGGGGATAGGATAGATTGAGAGAGAGATGAATGGATTAGATCAGGGGTGTCAAACTCAGTTCCTGGAGGGCTGCAGCCCTGCAGAGTTTAGTTCTAACCCTGCTCCAACACACAAACCATGTAGTTTTCAAATTTGATTAGCTGGATCAGGTGTGGTTCATTACGGTTGAAGCTAAACTCTGCAGGGCTATGGCCCACCAGGAACTGAGTTTGACACCCCTGGATTAGATGGACGGATAGGATGGATGGGTTGGATTGGAAGGCTGGGATGGAAGGATGGCATAGGATAGATTGGGTGGATGGGTGGGATGGACTGGTTGGAGAGATGGAGGGAGGGAGGGATGATGGATGGGATGGACAGATACGATGGATTTGGGTGGATGGAATGAAATGGCATGGCATTGGATGGATGGATTGGATTGGAAGGATGGATGGAGGGATGCATGGGATAGTATTGGATGGATTGGGTGGATGGGATAGATTGAGAGAGATGGATGGATGGATTATATGGATGGATAGGATGAATGGGTTGTAGGGATGGCATGGTATAGCATGGGATGGATTGGGTGGATGGATGGATAGGATGAATGAGTTGGATTGGGAGGTTGGGATGAAGGGATGGCATAGGATAGATTGGGTGAGTGGATGAATGGGATGGATTGGTTGGAGAGATGGAGGGAGGGATGATGGATGGGATGGACAGATAGGATGGATTGGGTGGATGGAATGGGACGGCATGGCATTGGATAGAAGGATGGATGGACTGGATGGGTAGGATTGGAAGGATGGAGTGGAGGGATGGCATGGAATAGCAGATGGATTGGGTGGATGGATGGATGATAAAACAGACAGACACACAATCTCATTGCTGAAAGCAGTTTCTCAAAACTACCCAAAATATTTTATAATGTTGTTTTTTAGAATAACAATTAACCATAATGCCTGCAATTAATTTATCTGCCTGCTTGGGGTGAACGACAGAGGAGGATGATGTCATCACCTTGTTGGCAGCGTCAATGAATTTCACACCCTTGTACGTGATGGAGAGGACGATGGTGGGGATCTTCCGCATCTGTTCTGTCGACCTCTGAGAGAAAGAGAGAGAGTATTATAGGATGTGTTTAATATTAAAATATTTATATACAAATGGATTAATTGATTGATTGACTGTATGACACATTTTGGCCCAAAATTTTCTAAGAAAACATAAAAAATTGGCACAGGTTAGCTTAAAAGTATTTAAATGAATACTAATTAATACTATTCGTATACTAAATAGTTAGTACTGTAACTAAATTAAAATGTTAAAAAAATCAAATAAATAATATTCCGCTTTCATGTAGCTTCAAAACTTCTGGAATTACAAAAGGAATAGTTAATTAACTTAATTTATCAACACTTCCAGTGTCTGTTAATAAAAAAACAAGTCTGAAAACAAGCAGCTTTGTCACAGTTACAGGTGAAAAAAAAAGAAAGAAAATATATTTTTATTCATATATTGACACCTTCAAATATTATGTCGGACAATGGACAGCTTTGAATAAAACAAATTGAGAACTACTGCTAAAAACAAACAAATAAATATGAAAAATCTATAAAAATAAATAAATTAAACCATAAACATAATATTTAAAAATAGTATTAGGCACCCTGACAGTATTTGCTGCACTACATTTAAATTAAAAATTGTTATTATTATTATTACTCATTTATAATTAAATATCAATTTAAACAAATAATGAATTAGTGTTTTACATTATGGTAATGAGGAATTGAGGGGAAAGGGAGTACTTAATTATTATGACAATAAATGTCATAATGCTAAAAGCCTTAATGGTTCTTACAATGTTGTTTAATTATTATTATCATTAATATTTAGGGATGAGATGTGACCAGTTTCATTGTGAGATTCACCAACAGCCAATGCTAATGTTTAAGGGACAGATTTCTTATGCCCTTTTTTATCATTTACTCAAATAAAACATTTGTTAGTTCTGACTGTTTAAGCTTTGGTCTTTTCAATAAGTGCCTGGCCCAACTGACTAGACGGCTTATTTTGACTGCATCCCTGCACTGACCGGCTGAGCAAACAGTTCTGCTTGATTATTTAACCCTTTAAACACCTACATAAACGGCTGCTTATCAGAACAGCCTTTGAAGTGCAAATCTGCAGTCTGTCTCTCACACACAGGACAGTGCGATGAAGCGGAAGTCCATTTTCCACTTTCTGGACAGACCTTGTTAGTCGTATATTATGAAACTGTCCTTTTTTGCGCTAGTGCCCCGTAGAGGACTCGCATGGGTGGCATTTTCCCTGACAGTGCTGCTTGCTGCCCGTTCCAGAATATAATAATAATCTCAGCGTCCTGGCGTGACTCCTCACAGGAGACCTTGGGCTCTCATTGGCCGAAGCCTCTGTGAACACCTACCCTCATTTTAGCACAGGCGTCCTGCGTTGACTCCGTTCCTCTTAGTTCTTTAATGAGCATCGAGCCCAGATACTGCAGAACGAGCGAGTCGGGACAAACCGGTAAAGAGAGAGAGAGAATTCAGTTGGTCTCAGCTGGCAAAAACAAACAGTTAAATCACATTATCTAAACACAATCAAAAATTCGGATGATTTCATAACCCGTCACCTAAATATGAATTATGACTTTATTATTATATAAAGGGGCTGTTTTATGATAGAAAAATTATTACGTTGGCCTCGTAACTGCATGATTCGAAGATGAGCTTCTCGGGCTGATGGTGCCAGTTCTGGACCGGTGTGTACGGCGCCGCCAGACTCGGGGGTCGTAAGGTCAAGCGAGGCTCCCGCTGACGTTCCTCAAATCTCTCCTTTAGGAAGGAAACACGCTTTCAGGATAAACTGACCGAAATGTGCATGATTTGAGCAGAAAGAGAAGGATTGGTGGAGTTTGACTCACTTGTGGTTGTGGCCTGTCATTGGGCCGCTGTCGAATAGCCACGTCATATTCTGAGTCGGGACCTCTCCTCCTTCCAGAATCACCAGCAGGTAACAGGGGATCCATGGAGCGCGTGTAGGAGTCTGAGTGACTGAGAGGAGACGAGGTCTGGGACATGAGATCCTGACACTGCAAAAGAAGTGTTCAATGAGGGAGATCAGCCAGCCAGAAAGATGTCCTTGCCCAGAAATGAGCTCGAGAGAGAGTTTACAGTATACTGCACTTTATTATAGACTGCAATCAGAGTTGATGCCAGATTTCATTTGTTGTGAATAAAAATAAGGCCGTGAGGGACAGAAGTGCAGTCTGTTCAATAAGGCAAACTGTTTTCAACCTGGGAGATCGAGCAGAGCAAAACACACAGAAAACACTAAACTTCCTCTAAATTTCTAGTGGACAAAGAGAATTGAATTAAATTGAATTTCGCATTATGGTACTGGAGATAAGGGGAAGTGATGGGAAGTAAAAAAAAACGTATATTTTCATCATGCAAATGTAATTTATTTGATTTATTTGTTTATGTATTTTTATTTCAGGGTGCGATGTGACCAAATTTATTGTGAAATGTCAAGATCCTTCTGTGAGGGACAGAAGTGCAGTCTTGACCTCGATGTTTCCGCAGAGGAAACAGAAAATGTCGTCCCACACTTTTCTAAAGAAACTGATTTGAAATTGAATTTCACATAACAGATTTTTTTTTACAAAAAATAATCTATGTTGTTTTATTTTGAATTATAGCAATGGAAGTTTTTAACATTATGCCAGCTTCCTTTGCATGACGAGTGACATGTTTATATGTGAGGTTTATAAAGTTTTCTTTAGATAAAAGCTATTTGAAAACATTTGCTGAGAAATATAATTCCCTAAGAGAACTTAAACCAGCATAATTTAATAAAATATTAGTTAAAGAAATCCTGGACTCTGTCATGAACAGTATAGCAGTAGACTTTTTTTAATGATATTAAGAACTTGTGTGTGATTCTGGAATGTCCTATTTGGCATCATGTACTGTATCTCATCTCAGCAATTACTGAACATATGCAACTTTTACCCACAGTTCGGTTAATTTCATATAGTTCGTTGCTCGTTCTCAGATTCCATTCTTCTTTCCATTTGATGATGAGATAAGATGCTATGGTAGTTTTAAGATGTGAGGGTGGTATGGAACACTTTAATATCTGTGAAAAGTGCTTCCTTAGCAGCAGCGTCAGCTTGTTCAAAAAATATAAGGGGGAAATTAGGGAAATGCAACCTTAAAAGGACCTTAAAATTAATTTCTTGTATATTCTTCATACAAAATATAATACATTTTTTGATTTTTTAAAAAATATTATTATTTTGGTGTGAGATATGAGCAATTTCATTGTGAGATTCATCCAATACCCTTCTGTGAAAGACAGAAATGCGGTCTGTTCAATAAGTGACACTGTTTTCGACCTGGACGATTCAGCAGAGGAAACAGAAAACACATCTTGCAAATTTCTAGTAAACTAAAACTCTGGAAGGCATGGTGATGTGTAGACGTGACCCAATTGTTAATCTTATGAATTGACAAAACTTTTGAATTTTTTAAACATAATTAAATTAATGCACATTTACAGATCAAATATTTGGTCTATTAATAGTTTGACTTTTTTTCTCATTTTGCTAATTACTAGTCAACTAAAATTACACATGCCATCTCAGCAAAATTAATCAATTTGTCATGCCAAAATATTGATAATATTTTCATAGAGACCAAACCTACAACAAAAAAACACTACATTTTGAACAAACTGTAATTCCACCCTCAGAGTCTTGTTTTTGTTTACTCCTAATGGTCTACGTAAAGCCTAAAATCTATTCTAGAATGCATAATATCATAAAATATTATAGCATACAGCAGTACTTACTCTGATCTGAGAAAGGCGGGGTGGTTTGACCGGAGGCTCCTCATACGGCCGTTCAGCTAATGATGCAATAATCCTTTTCCTGTGGCCCAACAACGTGATCTTCAGCACCTAAAAACAGACATAAAACACACGCAAAGGCAACAATTACACAATGTCTATTAAGCAACATAAATACCCTGCTCTCAACCGAATAATTCAGAGTCAAGTAATTGAATTTTTTAAAATAAAGTAAAAGCCAACTATGTAAATACTTCATATAATACTTGATATAAAACAAACGACAACAAAAAAGTCTATACTGTAAATGTTTGAATGCATCACGTTCTCACATTGACAATCTCCAGCTCCCACAGGTTCTTCACGCATTCTAGCGTGCGATAGCCGCTGGACAGGAAGTTCTGCAGGTATTCCTGAAGACCCAGGACGTCCAGCCACGCAGCGAGGGACGTGCTGCCGTCACAGCCTAATGCTTTCACCTGCAGAGTTCAAAACCAACAGAGAACTTACTTCAGACCCAGTACAGATAAACTGATGAAATGATAAATGATGAATCAATAAAATGATGAAAATCTTACAAAATAATACTGTTAAAGGCAAGTGATTATTAGCATCATGTGACAATCCTCTGCAAAGAATTGTAGACTCACACAAACCTTTGGTAGAGAACGTGCAGCACTGAGGATCTTCCTGCGATGTGCCGGATCCATGATGCCAATTTCTCTCAGGTCTTGCTCTTCCATTACGTCATTTCCCTACACAAACATACACAGGTAAAAAACTAGACAAAAATACAATATACACAACGCTACAATACACGACCTAAATGCACAAGCCCATATCAATAGTGTGTGGCAATAATGCACCAGTTGGTAAATGTATTTTTTTGTCTGAAAAACAAGGTTTAATTCAATGTACTGCAAAGCACCATAAAAATAGCAGCATCGACGGTCATCTCTAAACCAGCTCTACTTTAATCAACAAATATACAGAAGGTCTCCACTTTATGGATTGAGGACACAATATATATCGGGTAGGACAGAGGCACACATCTCACATTGTCTGTGTGCATGAGTGTGCGTGTTTCATGTTTTTTCATTGCTCAATGCCATATAATCTAAACAGTGAGTCTAACACAGCAGCATCTGAGCGATCGATGTAAGACAGCGCAGAGAGTAATCTGAGGTGCTGATCTCACAACGAGAGACACACACACACACACACACACACACACACACACACACACACACACACACACACACAC